CCCCCCCCTCACCTCCCTGGGGGGCCCCAGTAGGCTCCTCCTGAGGGCCTCCTCCTCCTCCTGCTCCTCCCGGTTCAGCAGGAGGAACTCCCGGCGGCGCTGTGGCTTCAGGCTCCCGGAGGAGAAAACGCGCCCCTCAATGCTCCGGAAAATCAGGGCCAGGGAGCGGGGCAGCAGCCCCACGTCCGCCTCCGGGCCTGGGGGGGGGGGTCACAGAGGTTAGCATAAGTTAGCAGGGGTCAGTCGGGGTCACAGAGGTTAGCAAAAGTTAGCATAAGTTAGCAGGGGTCAGTGGGGGTCACAGAGGTTAGCAGGGGTCAGTCGGGGTCACAGAGGTTAGTATATGTTAGCATAAGTTAGCATAGGTCAGCAGAGGTCAGTAGAGCCTAGCGGAGGTCAGCAGGGGTTAGCAGAGATTAGCGTAGGTTAGCGTAAGAAAGCAGGGGTTAGCAGAGGTTAGTGGAGGTCAACAGAAGTCAGCAGAGGTTAGCATAAGTTAGCATAGGTCAGCGGAGGTCAGTAGAGCCTAGCGGAGGTCAGCAGTGGTTAGCAGAGATTAGCGTAGGTTAGCGTAAGAAAGCAGGGGTTAGCAGAGGTTAGCGGAGGTTAACAGAGGTTAGCTGAGGTCAGTAGAGGTTAGCTGAGGTTAGCATAAGCTAGCAGAGGTTAGCATAAGTTAACAGAGGTTAGCAGAGTTCAGCAGAGGTTAGCATAGCTTAGCATTGGCTAAGAAGAAAAAGAATACTTTATTGATCTCAACATGGAGAAGAGGTCAGCAGAGGAGCTTACTTTTTTTTTTGGGAGCTGTTTTCATCCTTTTTTTAAGTAACTTTAGTTTTTCCCTTTTTGTATTTTTCCTCTTCTGGGTCTTTTTTGTATTTTTGTTTTTCTTCTGTTTTTTTGTATTTTGGATTTTTCCTCTGTTTTTTCTATTCTGTGTTTTTTTTTTTATTGTTTTTTTCTATTGGCTAGGTTTCTGTATTTGTATGTTTTTTTCCAGTCAGTTCTTACACTAATACTCCGCGTAGTGGCTGCACAACATGTAAATAACTTTTCTTTTATCGAAACTACATCACATAAAAATGATGATTAATTCCCCGGCCTCCAGTCAGAGCGGAGCTCCTCCCTGAGGGGCGGAGTCCCCCTGAAGGCGGGGCCTTTACCTAAGAAGGTGAAGGTCTTCCCGGCGTTGGAGACTCCGTAGGTGAACAGCAGCGCGTTCCCGCCCTGCAGCACGTCTGAGACCAGCCCCCTCACCGCCCCCCCGAACACATCCCTCTGGGAGCTCTCCGGCCCAAAGACCTGCAACACACACCCACCATACATAGATAGATAGATAGATAGATGATGCAACACACACCCACCATACATAGATAGATAGATAGATAGATGATGCAACACAAACCCACCATAGATAGATAGATAGATACATAGATAGATAGATAGATGATGCAACACACACCCACCATAGATAGATAGATAGATACATAGATAGATAGATAGATGATGCAACACACACCCACCATAGATAGATAGATAGATA